TATAAAAAGTTGTCCAAAAAAAATAATCAATATTGTGCTCACTGCTCAATGGTATTAATCCAATATTATCACAATACTATCAATGAAACGTAAAATGTCACTGCAAAATACAGTATAATTACATTTTGATAATACAAAAGTCCTAAGGAGCATAGTGGGCCTGTACCCCTCAGTCTTAGTAAGAAGTAAATTTACCACCTGTATTATTATTATTAATCCTGTCAACAACTGGGACAAATAATTTAGGCCCCGACGAAATATTTTAACCTCTCTTTAGAGCTGCATGCTTTATTTGGTATTGTAGAGATTATCATCACAGCACCCCCCCCTGTGATATATTGTAATATATGTTAATGTATTCATCTTAATGTATAAGTGATTAAAACATTAAGGAGTGTCCTCACTTCACTTCAACGAGCAACACACGTTACATGTCTGATAATATTACATGGTGTCAGGTGTGGGATGAAATGGAGAGATTTCTGAAACCTCCGTCCGAGATGAGCTTCTCAGACACAGAGCAGATGGATCTTGTTGAGCGATGGAGATGATGGCGAGAAACCATGGAGTTGTATTTAAGGCTCAATATGGCAGAAAGCACTGAGAAAGACAAGTGCGATGCTTTCCGATATATTATCGGACAAGATGGTCGAGATATTTACAACACAATGTCGTTTACTGAAGGAGAAGCCAACAAAATTGATGTCCTATTCACGAAATTCGATGAATATTGTAAGCTGAGAAAAAATATCATTATGGAAAGATATAAGTTAACACTTGAGTTCAGCGGAAAGATGAGACAGCCGACCAATATGTTACGGAGTTGAAGCTTATCGCGAAGAAATGTAATTTCGGCAATTTAGAAGACAAGCTAATTCAAGATCGCCTTGTGTATGGGATCAACTCGGAGCGATTGAAGGAACGATTGTTACGTGGCGAAGAAGATCTCACTTTAATAAAACCGTTAAAAATATGTCGAGCAGATGAACAGTCTAACAAGCAAATGAAAGTAATGAATGAAGAAAGTGAAGTCCATGCAATAAAGAAACAGACAACGTGGAAAGCTGGTAGAAACCAGGGCAAGGCAGACTTGAAGCGTAAGAATTTCCCGAAGCGTGACGGCGATAAACATGAACACAAATGCAACAAATGTGGAATGGTTCATGCGGCAAAGTGTCCGGCTTACGGGAAGACCTGTTACAATTGTGGCAAAAATAACCACTTCTCTAAAGTTTGTCAAGGGAAGAAGAAAGTAAACCTTGTTGAGAAAGATGAAAATAAAGAGCATTAAGACGAGCCTTTCTTCATCGGAAGCCTAAACAGTGTCCAAATGGAAACAACCACAGCCAAGCTCACAAGCTATACACAAGAACAATTGGAAACGCTGGGACAATGTCATTTGAAGTGTAATGACAAGACAGTGAAATTCTTTGTTGTCAATACAGAGCAAACACCTATTTTGGGATTTAAAACTTCGAAAGATCTCAATTTAATCGAGCTGGTTATGAATATGAATTCATCAATGCGAAAGTCTATGACGGCTAATTCCAGCGCCAAAGATGTGGTTCGCAGATTTCCTAAAGTTTTTCAAGGGCTTGGATGTATAAAGAAACCTTATCATATCCAAGTAGACCCGAATGTTACTCCAGTCGTGAGCACATTAAAGTGTCAACCGGTAGCTCTGAGGGATCAACTCAAAGAATGTTTCGATGAAATGGAGAAAGATGTGATCGAGAAAGTGGACCAACCAACTGATTGGGTGAATTCTGTTGTAGTGGTGGAGAAACCAGTTAGTAAGATGCAGATTTGCCTAGATCCAAGGCTGTTAAATGAAGCGATCCAGCGAGAACACTTCAAGATGCCAACTATAGAAGAGATAACAACATGTGTTGCCTGAACCACAGTATTTTCGAAGCTAGATGCAAACCATGGTTATTGGCAGATACCCCTAGATGTTGAGAGCCAGCTACTGACAACGTTTAACATATAATTTGGTCGATATTGCTACAAACGCATGCCGTTTGGAATTAAATCAGCCCAGGAAGTGTTTCAGAAGCGTATGAGTCAATCGTTTGGTGACCTTCAAGGTGTTGAAACTGATGTTGACGATATCTTGGTTTGGGGTACCACAATGGAAGAACACGACCAGGACCTAGCACACATGTTACAGCGATGTGAAGCTATTAACATCACGCTTAACGAGAGTAAGTGCGTATTTGGGACATCAGAAGTTGTGTATATTGGACACAAGCTAACTGCACAAAGGGTAAAACCAGATGAATCGAAAGTGGAAGCCATCAACAAAATGCCTGCACCTACCTGTAAGAAGGAGGCAGAAAGAGTATTAGGAATGGTTAATTACTTTGCGAAATTTATCCCAAATATGTCTACTATCACTGAGCCGATTAGAAGTGTGATGAAGAATGACGTGCAGTTTGAGTGGGGCAGACGACAAGAAGAATCATTTCAGAAGATAAAAGAAATCCTCACTGCAGCGCTAGTCTTAGCCTACTATGATGTACAGAAACCAGTGATGATAACATGTGATGCATCTCAATCAGGCATTGGAGCGTTGCTATTACAAGACGGAAAGCCCATAGCATATGCGTCGAGAGCCTTGACGGAAGCAGAGAAACGATACGCTCAAATTGAGAAGGAGCTTGTATAAATCAGTCAAATTCTATATCTGGCTTCACACGCAACGCTTAATAAACTTATTATACTGTCACTGATTAAAGTGTTCTCGCTCTACAAACCGCGTCTTACACTTCAGCAATTGTCTATAATACTTGGACTCTAGTAAATGTATTCTTTGAATTGGACGGTTAATGACTCCTTTCTTTGTGCGAACGGACACTGTTCGGATTAAGCCATCTCTCCCAGAAAAAGTGTTTTCTACTTTGCCAAGCTGCCACTTGCCTCGTGGAAGGTTATCATCGGAAACCAAAACCGTATCCTTTGGTTTTAATGGTGCCATTTTCTGAAGCCATTTTTGACGCATGGTTAGCCTCAGTAGATATTCCTTTTGCCAGCGCGACCAAAAATGTTGTTGAAGCCGTTGTTGATAACGATACCGATCACTAAGAGATATCATGGAACTCTTCCCAGGTGATCTGGAACTTCACCTAATTGTCGATTGAGTGCCAGTAATGCGGGGGTCATGATGACTCCGTCCTGAATATCATCTCCAATATATGTCAAGGGTCGAGAATTTATTATCGCTTCAATGTTTGTTAATGTAGTCAACATTTCCGTATAAAATAATAAAGACTTTCCGAGAACTTTTCTCAATGACTCCTTTAACTGTCAACACACCCGTTCCCAGTGTCTCCCACGATGACTTGCTCTCTCTATTATAAATTTCCAAACCACGCCGTTGTTTTCCAATCGATCTTGCACAACTTTAGGATCAATTTGCATTAACTTCAATTTCTGTTTTGAAGCGCTGAATACCCGAGCTGCCTTGTGAAAGGTGGTTTGGTTGTCAGAACGTATGGTACATGGCATTCCCCTTCGATTTGCCATGCGACGAAAGGCTTGCAGAAATTCTTCAGTAGTCATATTGTTCGTTAGCTCGAAGTGGACTGCTCTGGAATCCTCGCACGCAAAGATACAAACATAAGCCTTGGTGGTCTCCCGTTTCCCCTTTGCTTGCAATTTATGTTTAAGATATAATGGACCCATGAAGTCAAGTCCAACGTTGGTAAAGGCGGGAACCATTTGTACTCGTTCAACCGGTAGAGGAGCCATCTTTTGCTGTTGGGCTTAGTTTTCCAGTGCTTGCAGGTTAGACACTTATTCAGTATTCTCTTGATTTCTCTCCGACCTCCAGTGACCACTTCATTATCCAAGCAGTGATTCGGATCAGACGTTTCCAGCTTTCATATTTGGCTGCTATTTCGGGATAACTTGCAATTTCTTGAATCCTAACATTACAGGTAATAGCGTTAGCTTTTGTTTTCGCTTCGGAGAAACATTCGTTTGGATTTTCATCAGACGAGCTCTTTTGAGGCCAATTTATCGTATCTTGCTGAAGCCACGAAGGACCGTGCCACCAAAGTTCATTTGTTAACAAGTCCTGTATAGATATACCTCTGGAGACGAGATCGGCTGGATTTTCATTTCCCGTACAGTAATGCCATCTCTCTGGCTCGACTCTCTGCTGTATATCTTGGACTCGATTGGCCACAAAGACTTTCCAATTATTACTTGATTTTCGAATCCAACTCAAGACCACCTGACTGTCGGACCAAGCGTACACTTCATGCACAGGTATTCTGAGAGCTTTGATGACGTAATCGATCAATTTTGCTGTGACATATGCTGCAAGAAGCTCTAAACGAGGAAGTGTGATTCTTTTGGTTGGCGAAACTCTCTATATAGCCATGACAAGGTTAGACGACCGCTTTTTGTCTTGATCCTCCATGCACAAGTACAGCGCTGCGCCATAATCTTTAAGACTTGCATCTCCAAACCCGTGGAGTTCAATTTTCTTAACGTCGTTTTCTTTAGGTAATAGACATCTCGGAATTTCGACATTTTCTAGCTCACTTAACTCATGTTTCCAATCATTCCATTCTTTTGCAATGTCATCGTCCAATGGATCATCCCAATCTTTACCTCGCGCCCATAACTCTTGAAATAATAACTTCGGCCGCATGAGGAATGGTGACACAAATCCCATTGGATCAAACAATCTTGCATACAGGCTAATTAGACTTCGTTTGGTCATTGGATCCGGTTCATTCGCAATGGCTGATCCAGCTTGGTAGAAAAACACATCTTTTACAGTGTTCCATGAAATTCCTAATGCTTTTAATAGATCTGATAATTTCTCGGAATCATAGGTATTAGGGGTGATAAGGAAATTTGGTGCTCTATCTTCTAGAGGAAAACACTCCATCACTGTTTTTGAATTTGATGCCCACTTCGTAAGATGAAATCCTCCTGAGTGCATTAACTTCAACAACTCCTCCTGTAATTGAATTGTACTTTGATCATCGTGGGACCCCGAAAGTAGATCATCCACATACATATTCTCCAAAATTTCTTCGGTAGCCTTCGGGTAAATATCTTCATTAATTTTAGCATGCTTCTGAACTGTACCGATGGAGAGGAATGGGGAAGAGGTATTTCCAAAAGTCACTCGGGTCATACAGTACGTCTTTGGAACATCGTTGATACTAAGATCACGCCATAAAAACCGATGACTGTTTTGATCCTTCCTCATCAGGCAAATTTGGAGAAACATCTTCCTAATATCTGCCATTAGAGCTATTCTGTGACATCGAAACCGTAGCAGAACTTGCACCAGATCTGGCTGGAGTTTCGGGCCTTTCAATAGACAAGTTTTTTAGGAAACACCGTCAGGGGTTTTGCTACTTGCATCAAATACTATTCTACATTTCGTTGTGGATTTATCTTCGCGGAACACTGCGTGATGATGAAGATATCGGACTCTTCCTGATTTGTTTTCATCATCTTGCGTAACCTCTCGTGCGTGACCATCTGCGATATACTGATTCGTAGCATCACGGTACGATTTAGCTTTCTCTGGACTTCTTTTAAAAGTTTTCTCAATTGAAATAAGTCGCTGCAACGCTTGGTGATAATTGTTCACGAGGGGAGGGGTATTCTTCTTCCAAGGTAGGCCGACTTGATATCGCTCTCCATCAAACGTGATATTCTTCTCAAATTGTTCCATTGGCAAATGCTTCTTCTTCAGTGTACTGCGAATTTCTTGGTTCATCAACAACACCGACTGCATCAAGTTCCCAAAAACGCTTTAGTAAACACTGAGGATCTTCTACTTTGGCTATGCTTAGCATGCTCACCGTCTGGCTAGTTTTGGAATTTTTCCCAGGAACTGGACCACTTAGAAGCCATCCCAACTTAGAGCACGTTGCGACTGGGAAACCTTTAGCACCTCGCTTGACCGAATCTTGTACCAAGTTGTGATATTGATCAATTCCTACGAGTAGGTCGACGGTTGCAGCTTTACAAGGAAAATGATCTGCAAGTTCCAAATTCTTTAAATAACTGCATTTCTTCACGTCAAACTTGACTTCCTCTAACGGTACACAAACATTGTTTACTGTCCACGCTTCCATATCTATTGAATGCTCAGCACCATACGAATTTAGTGACACAAGCTTAAATGACACCCGATGTACTTTCTTTCGTTAATATTCTCCGCCCAGCTATTGATCTTCATTGTAGTTGACCGATTATCTTTCTTCATTCCAAGATTATCGCTGATGCTTGAACACAGAAATGTTTCTTCTGACCCACTGTCTAATAGAACGTGTACCACACATTCGATTCCGTTATAAATAAGTTGAGCACAAGCTGTGGGAAGTAAATTCTGCTGACCTCGTCTCCAGAGGTATATCTATACAGGACTTGTTAACAAATGAATTTTGGTGGCACGGTCCTTCGTGGCTTCAGCAAGATACGATAAATTGGCCTCAAAAGAGCTCGTCTGATGAAATTCCAAACAAGCTCTTTTGAGGCCAATTTATCGTATCTTGCTGAAGCCACGAAGGACCGTGCCACCAAAGTTCATTTGTTAACAAGTCCTGTATAGATATACATTTCTAGATATACATATTGGCAGTCTCATTCGGATTCGAAAAGTTTAACCAGTATACATATGCACGACATGTGGAAGTCAAATCGGATCATAAACCGTTGGAGTCGATAGTCAAGAAACCTCTCTCTATGGCACCACCTCGGCTACAACGAATGTTATTGCGTTTACAGCGATATGATTTCGATATAAAGTACAAGCCTGGAAAAGAGATGATTCTGGCAGACACTCTCTCAAGAGCATACATTACGGATTCAGAGAATGGTGGAAACATGGAAGAGGAAGTTGAACACCATGTTAACTCGGTTTTGCACAGATTACCAGTCTCAACAGACAAACTAAGCAACATCCAAGAAGAAACATCAAAGGATCCGACGATGAAAATGCTGTTGAAGGTGATTCATGAGGGATGGCCACAGTATAGACAACACACCCCAGTTGAAATCCACAACTATTCGAATTATCGAGATGAGATGTCAGAGATCGATGGTGTTATTATGAAAGGAGATAGGATTGTCATACACCTACAGCACTACAAAGTGAAATGCTAACACGAGTACATGAGAGTGACATGGGAATTGAAAAATGTTGACACAGAGCAAGGGATGTAATTTTCTGGCTAAGAATGAATGAACAGATTAGTGACTTGATATCTAAATGTGATATCTGTCAGGAATATCAGTCATCAAACCCGAAAGAGCCAATGATGGAATCGCCATTACCAAGAAGACCTTGGGAGATGGTAGCCACGGATCTTTTTCAATGGGAGCAGAAAGATTATTTGGTTGTAGTTGACATTATTCTCGGTATGTGGAAATTTCAAAGGTGGACGACACAAAAAGTCGAACGATTGTTAATCATACCAAGTGAATTTTTGCAAGGCATGGTATACCTTCCATGGTGATAATGGGCCACAATACGTAGCTCAAGAATATAAACAATTTGCAAAAGAATGGAAATTCGAGCATCAGACGTCCAGTCCTTACTACCCCAAGTCTAATGGTTTGGCAGAGAAAGCTGTTCAGACTGTGAAAACATTACTGTCAAAAGCCAAAGCCGACGGCAAAGATCCTTACCTGAGTCTTCTGGAGTATCGCAACACACCAATAGAAGATGTGGGTTCCCCATCACAAATGTTGATGAGCCACCGACTTCAGTCCATTTTACGACAACTACAAAGCAGTTACAACCGCAGATTGTCGATGCTAAACTAGTTGAAATGAAATTAAAGAAGAAGCAAGAGAACCAGAAGAAGTATTATGATATTGGATCTCGAGTACTCTCACCTGTGAATGAAGGAGAAAGAGTTCGCGTGATCGATGGAAAGAAGCCATGGTGGAAGAAAAGTTGTCATCTCCAAGATCATACAAAATCAGGACTTCAACTGGTCAAGTCATTAGAAGAAATCGTGTGCATATCAAAAAACGAAATAACCTACTGGAAGAAAATGTGATTGAAGATGAACTAGTTCCTTTGGAAGTAGTGAAGCCAAATGAAGCCAGTGAGATATATACCCAGGAGTATAGAACTAGAAGTGGATGCGTGTGAGTAAACCACCAGAACGATTGCAGTTGGGAATTGTCTTTCTTTCTAACGAGGATGACCGGCGAACTCCAGGGACTAGTGGAGTCCTCGACTATCTCTTGTTTTTCCATGTCTTCAATGATTTTGGAAACTTCTTCTCGCCTAGCAATCGGAATTCTTCTTGGAGGTTGCTTCATAGGCGTGGCATCCCCAGGAACAATGTCCTGTTTCAAACCACTCGCACGCCCAACATCAGCAGGTCCCTTAGAAAACACGTCTTGATAACGTTTTAGCAGGTTCGCTACCTTTTCTTTCTCTTGCTTGCTCAGATTCTCTATACTGCTCTAAATAAGGATTTTAAATGATCTGGAACAGTGTCTTCCCGGGATAATTCCTCCTCCACTTCATAAACTTGATCCGTGGGAGTTATGCTTACTGCAGGTTCACAAATGGCAATCTCAGTGCCTTTCCTTAACTTTTTTCTACTAGGCGATAAATTCCCAACTCTCACAGGAATGTAATCCTTTTCTAGGTCGACAACGGTCCGTCCCACGATAATGTCACCATTTCTTTGTGCCAAACTTGGTGGCCCAGTTGTTCCCCATCGAACATCTCCTTAAACATCTTAATTCACCCGTGCCAACTTGTACCGGAATTCCCAATATGGAGTGTTTGTCGAGGGTAGTCTATCACACAACCTTCCTTCCTCAAAAAATCTGAACCAAGAATACACTCTTCTTGAATATTGGCAACCCATACATCCAACGAAGAAACAGTTTCTCCTAACTTGATTTCCAGGATGGCTCTTCCAATAGCTGGGATTATCTGTTCGTTCAATCCTCTTATAACTCCATCAGTGTTTACTTCCACTATGTGTTCTGCCGAAGACAATGCATTGAATATACGAGAACTCAGTTTTGTGACGTCAGCACCAGTGTCCACCACAAACTGACAAGGCACATCCTCAATAAACCGAGACACTTTCAATGTTCCACCACATACTTTTACTCCATTGGGGTCTTTTGATTCCCTTTTGTGGCCGAGCTTAGACCCTCTGACCCGACCACTCCTCGTTTCCCGACGGTGGTTTCTTGAACTCCCTTTGATCGAGTGTTTTCTCCTGACTCTCTTCTTTCTTTCCACCAATCTTTTCCCTTGTTTTGTTCTTGCAATCTCTTGAAAAATGACCAATTTCTCCACAGGGCCAACATTTCCATTCAGTTGTTGTTCCGTCGTTTATATTTCCAGGCAGTCTACGATAACATTGACGTTTCGATTGTTCTCTGATTTCCTTCATTAATTCATTAATTGCTCCTTCCAGCTTCTGGAATTTTCCATCTTCATCTTCTTGTTTCACACAAGGGTTTCCTGGTGAGCTTGTACTTTCTCCTTTGACCAATATAGTAATATAGTTCTAACGCAATTTCTAGTGCCTTTTGAAGGGACTGGGGCTGAGCCTGGCGAATGCGTAAACGTAGATCTTCTTCAATAAGTGCATCAATAAAATGTTCCCTTGCTAGAATATCCTGTAATTCCTGTGTAGCATCTGGATAAGCCTGGATAAATCTGGTCAAACTTTCGATGCCTTCGACCAATTCTGGCAGTGTCTCATCTTTTCTCTTTACGCGATTTTTCAGTTTCGCCCTCGCTAACTCTGATTGATGGGTGACACCGAATCTGCTCGTTAATGCTGCGATTAATATCTTATAGTCCCTGCGATCTTGTTCGGACAAGTTACTTAACACTAGCGTAGCGTTACGCACTAAAGAAGTAGCCAGGAAAGCAGCCTTTTCTTCGTTGCTCCAACCGTTCATTCGAGCAGCTATATCGAATTGGGCCAAAAATGCACAAACGTGACATTCTTCATCACGCGTAATTGAATACCGCAGGGTCGACTGAGCCTTTTGTTCGCCACGTTCCACTGCCCTTGTGCAAATTTCGAGCTTCACGTTTAGCTTCCATGTCCTGCAGACGCTGGTCTATTCCTTCAACAGCCCCCAGTAAACTTTTGAAATTCTGTGAAAAAGTTCTACATATTCTCTGCAAACGTCCGATTTATACCCCTCCGAACTGCCTTGGTCATGTCCTGTGCCATAACATTATACTTTCTTATCAAT